CTGATAGCCTCAACGATCCTGCCAGTGAGAGCAATGGCCTCAATGAGTTGGCTAGTGCAGTAACCAGCACGGTTGGGCTGTTACCTCCCACTCCCACAGAGAGTAAGTGAGGCAAAGATGACTGCCATTACATTGGCAGTGACTTTTAAAAGCTTGTTTCCACTTGTAAGTAGAGGTGGCATAGCTCAGTGGTAAGAAGGATGCTTACAATGGTGCTTTTTCAGCCAATAGTGAAAGGGAGGGTCCCCTGCTCCCTTGATTGAGGCGAGTGTCTGAGCAAAACTATATTGGGTCTTCCTAGTGGATAAGCACAACTGTTTGATCATGGGATAATTTTATATTCCAGTCCTGTCAACGCACCTATTACCCTTGGGAAATCTATCTGAGGTGGGCCTTTTAGTTAAATCAGGACTTAGTTCTGTTGCCTATATTTCCTTTTCCAATTTTGGACATGGACCAATGTCTTTGGGTGGGGATCAGGGATCTAATGAAAGTTATTGAAATTATTCCCCTCATCCAGGTCTTGCTCCTTCAAATACATTTGTGGCCCCACAGCCTGTGGTAGTAGCCAGCCCAGCAAAATTGCAGGCAGCAGCTGCCCTGACAGAAGTTGCTAATGGGATTGAACCAGCTCCAGTGGTAAGAAAAAAATATTGGTAGGAATTTATGGAATGAATTTACAAGTTTTCCAAAGTTTATCTTGAATTATCCATTCTTTGCTAGAAACCAGAGCCTCCCACCCAGCTTCCAAAAGTGATTGTGAAGAAGGAAAATCAATGGTTTGATGTGGGTATTGTCAAGGCAACCAACATGGTGGTGACACACTACTTCCTGCCGCCTGATGATGCACCTGCTACAGATGTGAGTGGAAAAATATAATCACCTTAATTTCACCTTAAAGATCCAGATTTTTTCTGCCATGTATCTTCTTATCCATTCCCATAATATCAAGATAATTGTGATGTCTTATTTCCACTCTCTTCTGTCCTCTGCAGGATGATTCAGGAACCACTCCTGATTATTCTCAATTCAAGAAGCAAGAGCTGCAGCCTGGTACTGCTTATAAGTTTCGAGTAGCAGGAATTAATGCCTGCGGACGAGGCCCTTTCAGTGAAATCTCAGCATTCAAGACCTGTTTGCCTGGTTTTCCTGGAGCACCTTGTGCCATTAAAATCAGTAAAGTAAGAGCTTTTTCTGTTTTAGAGTCCTGTTAATTCATCTCCCTTTTTGAGTTGGGGTAATTGAATAATGTTTGTTGCATTTGTTGTCTCCCACTCTTGCTGCAATACCTTTTGGCTGTCCTGGTTTTCAAGCTCTTCTTGCATGTTTCTAACACAGAGTCCAGACGGGGCCCACCTGACTTGGGAACCACCTTCAGTCACCTCTGGAAAAATCACAGAATACTCGGTGTACCTAGCCATCCAGAGTCCCCAGGCGGGTGAACCTAAGACCGCAGCACCTGCCCAACTGGCCTTCATGCGGGTTTACTGTGGGCCCAGTCCTTCGTGCCTGGTCCAGTCCGCTAGTCTCTCCAATGCCCATATAGACTACACCACAAAGCCTGCCATTATTTTCCGCATTGCTGCCCGCAACGAGAAGGGCTACGGTCCTGCCACACAAGTTCGGTGGCTTCAAGGTGAGTGGCGGCTGTGATGAGACGTTGGAGGGAGGAATGTAGCTTCAGGCCACATATGAGTGGGAAGACGTTCTTTAAATTAAACCTTCAACAAGATGAGGAGCTGCTATCAGGTCTCTGACTCTTATAAATAGCTGCACACCATTCACTTTCCCATCTTGAGCGATGGTTTGCAGCTGAAGAAAATCTGCCATGCTGCCTCTCGGATCCAGGTTGGATATTTGTGTTGATGTTTCTGTTAGTAGGGGGGGTGTATAAGTAAATAGGAAGGTCTCATTCAGAATTCTAGTTTTTTATTTTATTGAATTTAGTCATTAAGAATTGATGGATTTATCAGATATTTCTATCAAGTTCCTAGTCAGGAATGTATGTCTAGATTTTCTAATATGTGAATCTCACCATCTAGAGTGAAAATGTTTTTTCAGCCCCAGCTGCAGTATAAATGGCTTGGCGATAGGATTACTGAGTTTAATGGTAGAGACAAGCTCAGCAAGCCAAATTGTAATAATATCACTAAAGGACTGAATGTCAGAATAAAATTACCCAATTTTTTTCACATCAGCATTTGATTGTATTTTATTTCTTGTCATGATTGATAAAGGAATAAAGGATATATATTTCACATTCCTATAATGATTCACCTTGATTCAGGCAATGTTTTATGTTTCCCTTCAGTGTGTGTAATACACTTTTGTCTTTACAGAATCCAGTAAAGATGGATCTATGACAAAACCAACTAACAAGCGGCCGCTTTCATCTTCTGATCTGTGAGTATTGATTGGTGGAGCAAGCAATTATTTCAGCCTTCGTGTTTCCTTTGTGGAGTTGTGGAGGGTTATGGAAGGAAATCTATGTACATCCCCAGTCATTTTGGGAGAAAAAATACCTTATGAATTTTTCTTTATGTTCATCAGAATATCTTGGGTCAGCCTTAGATTGAATAAATAGTCAAGTTACTTTGTTGTCTATGCAGAGTGGGAGAGGGACTTCCAGCCAGAATAGAATTTCTCCTATAAGCAGCCTAGCAAATCGAGGATGCTGCAGCAAATTCTCTAGAGAAATATTGCTAAAGTTACAGCTGTGGAGCTCAGCTGTGTGAAGCCAAAAGACTGGATTCTAGGCCACCTTTATGCATGACAGCTGACTGGATGACTTTGGGCTAGTCACTCTCTCAGCCCAGGCTATGTCACAATTATGGGTGACCGAGGAGGGGGAAAGAGCATTAGATATATTCACCACTTTGAGTTGTATATAAAAAAGGCGGGATGATGATTAAAAAGTTGGTTGCTTGCTAGTACTGATGGCAGTGGACACTTCCAGGGAATGAAAATTTGAATTCTGACAGTACTCCGGGCAAGAAGAGCATCGCATTCATGGCCAAGCAGGAAGTTGGACCTTATTCTTTCTTCTTTTTCATCTTCCAGGAAAAGTGCTCCAAAGAAGCCCAAAGCAGATGGGCAGTGAAGGGAGTCACCAGCCATCCCCTCTTCCTGCCTGCTCCACAGCCTCTGCCTGAACTCCCCCAGCCAGTCAGTCACCCCGTGTATGACGAAGATGGAACTGCCGAAAGCACATTTCATACACCTTGGGATGAACTGTTGGGGTGGGGGGGTGGGGAGAAGAGATGCTGAGGCTCATGTGAGGGACCCCCAAGCAGGGCCATCACTGCGCCATACCCCAGCCTAGGAAGGGGGAAGAAGGAATGGAATTCCTCCCTCACCCTCTGCTTACTGCCCCAATGACATGGACATTGATGGTTGGGGTGGGCTTGAGGGAAAACTTGTTATGGGGGGGAGGGGGGCTGTTGGGTTTTTTTACAAGTTGCAGTTACAGGAATGAAGTTCTTTTGTATTCCCCTGAATCCTGTGTGTTGGGGGTAGGAGACTTGGTCTCCCTGCCTCCGGTTCTTGCCTCTGTACAGACCCTCTTCCTCAGTTTAGTTTTTAGTGTCTGCGTTTGGTAATGGAGAGAAGTCCTTGCTAGTGGGGATTGAGAAGATGTGACATGGTTGGCCACAGATGCAGCTACTTTGAACATTGGAGGGGAGGGGCTCATGCTACAGTAGCTGTTCTAATGCTCAGCGCGGGATGTTTGTGGCTTGAATCCACCCCTTTTTCCCCTGTACATGGAACAACCCCTCCTTAGCAGCACAAGCTGGGTTTGTTTTCTCTCTCTGCTCTTCCTGCCTCCAGGCCACAAGGTGGCATGCTATAGGCAGATGTCTTGCCATTCCTTTCCATTGTTTTGTATAAAACTTTTTTTTAGGATAAAATGATTTGGGAGGGAGAATGTAGCTGATCCATCAGGCTTTTGGGTCAGAGCAAGGCTGGAGGGCAACATTCTTGATGGTTGATGTACAACTCTCCACTGTACGGGGTAGGAGTTTAGGTTTCACTCTATAGAGAAATATATGCCCCCCCTCCCCTTTTCCCCTATTGGCTGTCTTGGGACATTCCACATAGGGGAGGCAGGGAAAGCAACAGGGCTTTGTAGAGTCGGGGGATCTCTATGGAACATGAATGAAATGCCCCCTCCCAGGCGCACTGTTTGCTGTGTTGAGATTGGTAGACAAACTAGCCCTCAGAAAATACCCCCATGAGCAAACCTCTCCCACCCTTGCTCTGTGCCCTGGTCTTTTGTATTATAGTATATTTCGCTGTGTCCCACTTTCCTGTTCAGTCCCTAAGATTCCTTCTGTCCTTCCTATATTTGACCTGATTTATTTTCCACTGAGACAGGAACAACCCTCATAGGAGTTTACCCTGGCTATCCACCCTGACCCCCCCCCCACTCCCCCTAGTGCTGCGTATCTGTCGTTTTTGTGCTATTTTGAACAATTAAAGACTTTTTTTTGGAAACAAGACTTGATGTTTGGAAAAAGAGCTCTTTCCCTCATCTTCTCCCTTCAGAGTGTTCGTGGTCAAATTTTCTGTAGCCTTTTTTCTTTATGAAAGGACTAGATCCGTGGTGGCGAACCTATGGCACGCGTGCCACAGGTGGCACACAGAGCCCTCTCTGTGGGCACGCGTGCCCTTGCCCCAGTCCTAGGCCTTCAGCTGGGTTTTATAAAACCTTTTCACTTTAGGCCTCCGCCGCCGTGTGCAAAAAAAAAAAAAAAGTTCAATCAATCAATTTCAACTTCTTGCAGGAAAAAAAAAGATCTCGCGAAGTTGGAATTGATTCATTGAACTTTTTAGTCCCACCCAGCCTGCCATTACCACCACAGCCACGCCCACCCAAAGGGCCACACCAACCAGATGGGCCATGCTCACCCGGCACCCCATGATACATAAGTGGGTTTTGTATTGCAGTTTGGGCACTCGGTCTCTAAAAGGTTCGCCATCACTGGACTAGATAATGCCTGTTTTCTGTCACTGAAAAGTCTCAGATTGAGATTTATTTCCATATGTTTGGATGAAGACTATTCAACACCCAATCTAGGTTCTTCAGTTATAAGGATCTCTCTTCCAGAAGGCCACAAATCTTATCACGGGATCCAGCTACCAAAGTGACAGGCTGCAGGGTTGGCAAAATCTTGTTACTGCCCAATGGGCTAACTTCCTGTTCTTGTTCATGCATCATGTCAAAGATCTGTAGTGAAAAATAAATCTTCCCATCTGCATTTGGGCTTATCAGCAGCCACACCTTTCCCGGTATGTCCCTTCTGGCGGCCTGGTCTCTAGGTGAACAGAGTTGAGTTGTGGCTCTTCGGGTACCTTGCGCTGAAATGAAACAAAGTGACCAGCACAAGTGAGAAAAGAGGTCTGATATGGAGCAACTTGCTGGAAAGCATTGCCCTGATAAAGGAATTGCTTCTTATCACAAAGAGTGTAGTCTTAAAAGCAGGGATAACGCTTATTGTGGCTGGAGGCAGCATATTATTTAATAATATTTTTTTTTTCAGCCTAAAGAGGGATGGAAGCTTTCTCTTTTCTCCAATGTTATCCTTATTGGAGGCACTGCCTTTAGCTGTTTCACTTATTAATTTTGTTAGCGTATTTTGATGGCACACTGTTGGGTTATCCAGGATTTATAAAAAAAAAAAAAAAAGAATAACCATGCTATAAAGCTTTTAACATTGGAAATGGAGTAAATGCATTCCTTACGTTCTTCAGTACAGCCCGTATGGCCCACTCAAACACCTCCGGCACATTGGCAGCTGTCTTGGCACTGGCTTCAAAGTAGATAGCATCATGAAGCCTGCTCCACATTTCAGCTTCCTCTGAAGAAACCTGCTTAAAGACAAGATACCTTCACACTTTGCCCTCTTCCCACTCCTGCAACCCTAAACTAGAAATGGAACCTATAAATGTAAAACGTCTCCTGCAGGTTCTGCTGCCTCTGCCATCAAAAACCTATCCAGATTCTTCCTTCAAGGCTCTGTAGGACCACTATATAAAGTCCCTAATCTTTAAAACACCCCTTCACACACAAGTTGGGTGCTACATGAGCTCTTGTACAGTAGTTGCAATTTATCCTCAGTGTGTTTGCTGTGTACCTCACGATTCTCCAGGTCAGTCTTGTTTCCAATGATGGCAATGGGAAAAGTGGGTTCTTCCTCTGGCTCAATCTGCAACAAGAGCTGCTTGTGCCACTTCTCGAGGGCTTGAAAAGAGTAGATAGATGTGACATCAAAGACGAGCAGGCAGCAGTCAGATCCCCGATAAAGGGCAGTCCCCAGCGCATGGAACCTTTCTGTACCAGCTGTATCCCAGATCTTGAGTCAGGGAGAGAGAGAGAGAAAAGGTCTGACTCAAGTGCTGAGAAATTTAAATGGGCAAGATGAGTAAGTACATCATTACAGGATGAGTTACAATTTCTTTGCCATGAACATTTTAATGCAGAATTAAAAGGTTTTTTTGACATCCAAAGGGCCTTTACACTTAGTCAGGTCAAGCTAGACCTTCTCAAAACAATTAGCTGATGATATATTTGGTTTAGGAACGTTATGCCTTTGTAGAGTGCTTTAGCTTTATGTTGTATTTTTAAAAATGAGTGAAATGTTAGTTTATAGTTCCAAGTTTTGATATTTAGTGATAAAATCTGACATGGGGTAATTGTTAATATTAGCTCAGAGAATGGTCACAACACATGCAATGAAAACTTTGCTTGAACTGCCTCCTTTGCCTCGACAGCTATAAAGTCCTTACTTTAAGCACTTTATTAGACCCATCTTCCAGAGGCGGTATATCATAACTTCCATGTGCCACAGCCAGTTTAAGCATAAGCTAGTTTACATACTAAAGCTGAAGTTTCTAAGAATTGGGTTATTGCTTATTTGAGACTGCTATACCGTATATCTGTAGAAATAAGAAAATGAAGCAGGAAGCAAGTACTTTTACTATTATTTCTATATATCTAGCGGCTGAAGAATATTTCTAATGGCAAAACAATGCTAGAGGGAGGAAGCTGTTGTATGCTAGAGATATCTGACAAAATATGGATGTCTGTTCTGATGATATACGTGATCCCTGTTCTGATGAAAGTCATAGAGTCATACAGCATATTTCTTTTTGTCTTACAAGTTGAGACAAGTGGAATATGTCCACAAAAATATTTAATGTGGAGCTTTCCAGTTCACAAAACAACAAGAAAGTTGAGCTTTATTTTATCTTGTAAATGTTCTGCCATCCACAGTTCAACAGTCACCATTGTGAGCTCGGTGAATATCTGATCAATTACTGGGCTGTTGTGGGTTCCTTCCCCCTCCCCAAAAACTATGGGAGTTTTTTTACTTGCATTTCTTCTTACCCCTTACCGTCATTTTTTGATATTTAATCTGGCTTGCTGATACCCTCTTGTTTGTGTGTGAGGAGTTGTATACAAAATCCTCTTTTGACTATATAGTGATTCGTGCAAAGGATAGGCTTGGTAATGACCAAAGTTAGTTTATTCAATGGTGGGAAGAGAACATTAACACAGATGTTGGCTCAATGTGTGTCAGAAGGGTAGTCAGAAGTCCACCTCGTATCAGGCCTACCTGCACTATCAGGGTGCGGCCATCAATGTGTACTTCTTTGCTGAGGAAGTCTGCTCCAATGGTGGCTCTGAAGCGGCTACTGAAGCGGTTGTTAACATACTGGTTCATCAGAGCAGACTTGCCCACCCTGTGGAGAAGGAAACACTGGCATCAGATCCTGAGAGAAGACCAATTACCCATCCTCCCATTAACCAACAGATGACTGGTTGGTATCACACTCCCAAGCTGTTGTTGTGTGAAGATTCAAGAGAGATCATAGGAACTGTGGCCCATTGAGCTAGGTCCAGTGGGGAGAAAGGCCGAATATCCTGCTGAACTTACAGAAACTCCCAGTTAACCACTGAGCAACATTAAGCCAATTATTCTCAACCAACCTTCCTCACAAAACTGTTGGGATAAAATAGGGAGATACATACATTTCGATTCCAAGTGCAATGAGTAACTATAAATAGAAGCTTGAAAAAATGGGGAGGGGGGCAGCCTCCCCAACCTACTTCTCGTGATTTCTCATAGTCTCAGCCAGCATGACTTCATAATCCCAAAGATTTAAGGCTATGATTTGGGGAAGACTTGTAGATGGAATGTCTGATGAAATGTAGGTAAGAATGTGTTAAATCAGGTTGTCAAACAACATTTCTTTACAGGAGTGTTTTAGATCAAGAGTCCCCAAGCCCCGGTCCGTGGACCGGAACCGAGCCACAACATGCATCCGCACAAACAAGCGAAGCCCCATCTGCGAGATGCAGGCAGCACGCGAAACCCCACACCCCTTCCGGTCTGCGGAAAAACCTCTACGGAACCAGTCCCTGTTGCCCAAAAAGTTGGGGGCCGCTGTTTTAGAAAGAATACAGCTCTTATCTGAAAAAAGAAGAATTTCTTTAGTTTATTAAGACAGATTTGAATAATATTGCAACAGCCAAATTACAATAGTAAAATCGGATGCAGAAGAAGAAAACCCATCCTATTCAGAAAGCTTAGTTGAAAAGCGAGGTTTTTTTTAATTTACGAATTATTTAAAACGTACTTCACCTGAGAAAAAAATCTAAGAATTAAAAAAAAATTACTACTGCTTTCTCTGAAGATGAAGCATTAAACATAACTATATTTAACTATATTTCTTCGTGTCCCACCAAAACCAAAAGGTCTTATAATACATCCATGTTTTCTTGTTACATTGTGATACCTTCATGATGAACAGTACCAAATATATACCAATACTTCTTTTAGCAATATTGTAAACTTTCTGCTAAAAGAGGGATATGGTCCAGCCAAATTTAAATTTTCTGGAGCCCTATTTATTTCAGTAGGAGTAGCAATTGCATCTTTGTGCTAGAAATGCTCTTTGAGATAAGTTCTTTCCAGAAATCTACTCATTTTTAAATGCCACTTTAAGTAGTTTAAGTACAGGAAGACTGATTAAGATTTCAAGGAATCTTAGTATCCAAGCCAGTTATTTGTCTCTATGATTAGTAAAATTTTAAATTTAATTCTTCTTGGAAGTAAATTTAGTTAAAATCAGTCTTTTAGTCACAGATAAGTAGTTATAGTCTTGCACTCTCAATATACTATTATATTCTAGTCCTATAGTAGAGGAACATAATTATGTGTAAGCACGTTCCACTTTAAGCTTTCTCAAACAGTGGTAGGATTTCCAGCATGAACTGTTGATAATTCAGAGTATTATAGTCCCAGCGCACATATATTAAATTTGAGGGTTTTTTTTTATGATGATGAATTGTGTATCTCTTCCACTGGGATGCCATAACTCTCCAAAGTATCACCATAGCTATTTGAGCTGGCCTTCAGATTCTTGGCATTCTTCAGAATAACTTTCTGCTACTGCTAGAAACAGGCATGTAATTTAACTCAACCCTCCCAAAATAAAATCTTAGGGAGCTTAAACACAATACACACTGGTTTGGACAAAGAGCAGTGTGTACCCTACATAAGCTGAGCTCACAGCTTCAAGGAAGCATGCCAACTTAATTTCTAAGCAGTAAACCAAAAACATTTTTTGAAGGGTATCTGCTCAATGATTATAAGAGAAGGAAGTATCATTTCAAATCTTAAATGGGAGAAGATAGAAAGGAGCATGGAGCTAAAGGTTATACAACAAAGCTAATAGGTCTGTAGAATTACAAGAGAAACAAATTTGTGCCTAATTTTGCCAACCAGTGTAACAGATGGAATTCATGGAATCTTTTAAAATATTTGGCACTGCTGCAGAGTTGTAGACTAGTATTCCTGAAAAAACTTCCCTTTCACTGTCATATATCTTATGAAAAACTGAAACCTCTCTGTTTTCACCAATAAGGTATACCCTCTATATCAGTGATGGAGAACCTTTTAGAGACCGAGTGCCCAAACTGCAACCCAAAACCCACTTATGTATCGTCAGGTGCCAGGTGGGCATGGCCCATTGGGTTGGTGTGGCCCATTGGGTTGGTGTGACTAATTGGGTGGGCGTAGCCCGTTGGGTTGGCATGGCTGCAGTGTTAACGGCAGACTGGGTTGGACTAAAAAGTTCAATTAATCAATTCCAACTTCGCGAGATCTTTTTTTTCCTGCAAGAAGTTGAAATTGATTGATTGAACCTTTTTTTTTTTTTTTTGCACACAACAGCGGAGGCCTAAAGTGAAAAGATTTTATAAAACCCAGCTGAAGGCCTAGGACTGGGGTAAGGGAACGCATGCCCACAGAGAGGGCTCTGCGTGCCACCTGTGGCACGCGTGCCATAGGTTCGCCACCATGGCTCTATATGCTTTTAACTATATTCTCATCACTTCAGGTAAGTAGCCACGTTGTATGGGCTGATAAGAATTGCCAAGCATAATATATACATCTCATGTGATTCCTCCCTCCATTTAGACAGAGGGCCAATTGGGGCACAATTCCACAACTCCAATAGCACACAGGGCAAACTTTCTGCAAAAGAGTGAATGAATAGAACTTTGAGTCCTGATGCCATGCTGTGTTCATTCATTCTTTTGATGAACAAAGTAACAGATGATTTATTTCAGCCTCTCAGGACACTCATTGGAAATCTCACTACAAGCATTCTAAAAAAAATTGAGCAAGAGATTGCTAAGCTCACATCAAAAGATTTGGGGCTATTTCCTAAAATTTCAACAAATACAAAAGCTTTTAACCTAATGCAGCAGTTAATTGATAAGATACTTATATTTTCTCTCACCTATATCTGTATAATCTACCTTTAATTTCCTTCCCTCATTCCAGTTTAAATCCTACAGGAGTCTAACTATGCATCTGATGAAGTGAACTGTAGCTCACAAAAATTTATGCCTTTTAATACATTGGAAAGGATGCTACAAGAGTCCTCATGAGCACTGCGGGTGAGGTCATTTTAGTTGCTCCTCTCCTATTCCAGAAAGGATACAAAGGGCGAATAATGCCAGGTTGGTTGCCTTGCTCCTTTCTTCCCCTGCATGGCGCATGTCCAGTGGCCCATCAATCTTCCTATCACTCGCCTTCCTCATTTATCTCCATTTTATTTTTTTATAAATAACTCCAGGTGACAAACATACCTAATAGTTCTTCCTCCTATTTACCCCCACAACAACAAATCTATGAGGTGTGTTTGGCTAAGAGAGAATGACTAGTCTACTCACCCAGCTACAATAGTGGCCAAAATCGTGGAAACCTTTTGGGAAAAGTGTATTTTTGAGGTTTGCTGGCTAATAACACCACTTTTTGGGGGGAGTAGTACCATAAAATTATATATCAATGGAAAGATAATTTAATGAAGAATGTAATGCAACAAAGTTTGTTCAATTATCTGTACTTTATTCTATGAAAAGTTATAGCCAAATAACCAGAAAAATGAAGCACAACTTGCTTAGGTTGATACCAGGTAGCTTTCCTTCATCTGATTGTAGCCAATGAGCATGAGTGTTTAGAGAGCCAATCAGGTGTCATCTTGTTTTGGCAATGAGCCAGTCAGATCACAGTAGGATTCAGTTATTAATGTCATGTATTGAAGCTGAGAGGAGGACATTTGTCAGTGTTATGTGATCGCTATCAAGTTGGTTGGGTTTTTTTGTGTTCTTTCATTTAGTGAGCTTGTAAAACATAATTTAAAGTAATGGTGCAAAAAGTTGACTGGTTGCCCAGAAAACAATGTAAAATAGTATTAAGTGAACAAGGCTACAGTTATAAAGAAATTTGAAGAAAAATTGGTGGAAACTTAACCAAAGGTGGCATTTCTACTGTACACTTTTCCCAAAAGGTTTCCACAATGTTGGCCACTAAAGCAGGACCAAAACTCAGTCTCCATGTTTCTAGCCTGGTGCCTTAACCCAAACTGGCTCTCAACTTCGTCATAACATGAAGCATTTGTATCCTCTGGGATGAGTTGTTGAATATAAAGTGGGATCACAGAAACTTAGTTGTAGATGATATCACCAACCATCTGCTATCAGTCCTTCCATCAGCAACCGATCATTCCTTCATTTTTCTTCTGCGGGTCTTGCCTTTTTTGTCCTCTGTCCATTCAAAAGGCTTGTTTCTGGAGCAGATTTGATTCCATGGACAGAATTATTGGTGCACCCCTGTTTTGCACAATCTGATGAAAGTCTATTTTAACCTGCCTCAGCTAGGATAGGGAATGGGAGGAAGACAATGTAAGGAGCACATGGAAGACAAAGTTTGCCATACACTGCATACAGGTTCAGGCTGTGCTTAAAGTCAGGGAGAAAGAGCCCTCGGTCTTTAGATCCACTTCGGATAGGGAGGTGACCTCAGCGTCCCTCTTCCTTCCCCGAGCTGCCATTTCCCTGAGAGTTAGCAAGTGCCTTTATTGCAGCCTACACACCCACTTGGCAAATACACCCTGGGTCGTCTCGTTCCTGCGCGCTCTCCCCGGACTTTTGTCTTTCTAAGGGGGGCTGGGAGGGTGAGGTCGGCGCGCCCTCCCCCCAAAAGCTTCGTGCTGTCGGTGGCTTACCCTGAATTCCCAATAAGCAGGATTTTGAGGTGTGAACGTCTGAACATGGGGCGTCTCCGCCAGAACCTGCAAAGAGAGAAGTTGGGGGCTCAGGCGCTGCCACATCATCTGGCCCAAAGGTGGCTTCCCCCGGAATCCGGTCGCCCGTCTCTCGACGGCAGCGAAAAACCGGTAGCCTAGAGGAAAACTTCGGACGTTCTTCTTTTTATCGGATTACTCCCCCCCCCCCATGGTGGCTCTCTTACTCCTAGGACACCCGTCTCTGCCTTTTCGCTTCTCAAACTGCGAGGGAGGGAAGGTACTGCGCCAAAGCAGGTTGCTCCTCACAGTTTCCTCCCAGGAGCAAGATAAGGTGCTTGCAAGCGCGCGCAAGCAGCCACGCCTGCAGCTGCTGGGACTCGAGGCTGAGCAGCGGCTCCCTGACGAAATTCCCGGGTTTTGTCCTTCGTCGGCAAAAGGACATTCCCGTTTCTCCCAGCAGCCGATAGTTTGGAAGGAGCAATTGGCCAAAGGAGGAGCCCGCTTGGATCTTCCCGTCTGCTAGGTGTTCCAGGCCTCGGTATCAGGACTTAACTCTTGGAGCTCTGAGAGAGCGGGAAGAAGGTTTAAATAGCTCCTGAGTAAGTGCAGACTATTTTCTTTTGGAACCAATCTGCGTTCTACGTAGTATACCATTGGGCCAACTGAGACAGGCATTCACCATATTTTGAGGGCCAGGAATGACGGCCTACTGGTCACTTGTTTGAAAACCCCTTCCCTTGGAGAATAAAAACCACACTGCTAAATCGGGGTGTGGTGAAAGATGGGATGAAGCTGTTTGATCTGAAGGAAGGTCTACAGTTCTATCGATGTTGTCTCCTATTATGCCTAAAGCCAAGGGCAGCAAAATCTTAGGCTGCCCTTGTGCAAATGGAGGTAATTGCCTTGGGCCAGTGGTGGCGAACCTATGGCACGGGTGCCAGAGGTGGCACTCAGAGCCCTCTCTTTGGGCACTTGTGCCGTCGCCCCAGTCCTAGGCCTTCAGCTGGGTTTTATACAACCTTTTCGCTTTAGGCCTCCACTGCCATGTACAAAAAAAAAAGTTTGATCAGTCAGTTTCAACTTCTCACGGAAAAAAAAAGATCTTGCAAAGTTGGAATTGATTGAACTTTTTAGTCCCACCCAGTCTGCTGTTACCACTGCAGCCATGCCCACCCATGGGCCACACCCACCCAGCACCTGATGATGCATAAGTGGGTTTTGGGTTGTACTTTGGGCACTCGGTCTTTAAAAGGTTTCCATCACTGCCTTGGGCCATTCATTTGGATTATCAAGGAAAAGCATTGAACCAATAATTGAGTTCACTGGTGTGTATTAACTTCCAGGAACGGGGTAAGGACATGGAGACAAATATACAGTACAGGTAGTCATCAACTTACAACAGTTCATTTAGTGACCACTCAAAGTTGCAATGACACTGAAAACTGACATGAGTGTTTTTCACACTTATGACTATTGTAGCATACCAAGGGTCAGGTGATTAAAATTCAGATGCTTAGCAAATGACTCATATTTATGACAGTTGTCCTGGGGTCATCTGATCACCTTTTGCAACCTTCTGACAAGTAGTCAATGGGGAAACCAGATTCACTTAACAACTGTGTTACTAACTTAACAACTGCAATGATTCACTTAAGTGTTGCAAGGTAAGTTGTAAAATGAGGCAAAATTCAATTAACAATGTCTTGCTTAGCAACAGAAATTTGGAGCTCAATTATGGTTGTACGTCAAGGACCACCTGTATGAAATTCTTCCTTTTTTCTGAACTGGGGTGCTGCTGTGAAGGCTGTTCCACAGGAAAGCATTTATATGAGATGTCTTTAACAAATTCCCTTCACAGCTCATAGGCTTGCCTCGCCCTTCCCAATCTGCCCTATCCCCTTGATCTTAATAATTGTAATAGCTTACCTTGCAGGACTGTTATAAGCATTACAATAGAATCATGCTTGTAAAAAATTTGAAACAATTTAGGAGGCTAAAACTGAAGCCTTTTCTTTCTACTACAGAAATGCCCAAGCATAAATTTGGTGCTGGAGAAGACTCCTGCGAGTCCCTTGGACTGCAAGGCATTCATACCGGTCAGTCCTAGAAGAGATCAACCCCGACTGCTCTTTAGAAGGCCAGATCCTGAAGTTGAAACTCAGATACTTTGGCCACCTAATGAGAAGGAAGGACTCACTGGAGAAGAGCCTAATGCTGAAAAAGATTGAGGGCAATAGAAGAAGGGGACGACAGAGAATGAGGTGGCTGGATGGAGTCACTGAAGCAGTGGGTGTGAACTTAAATGGACTCCAGAAGATGGTAGAGGACAGGAAGACCTGGAGGAATTTTGTCCATGGGGTCGCGATGGGTCGACACGACTTTTCAATTAACAACAACATTTGAAATATATGGGACTTTTCTAAATCATTAGAACTCTCCTCTGACAATATACTACATTACAACTGAGTAATGTAAGAATGAACAAGAGATCCAACTCTGCCCCAAAGAACTTAAGATTATATTTAGATAAGAGACAATTGATGGGTTTATTCTCATTGATTTCCAAAGGTTTTATAAATTAAAATGCCTTTAAAATGTTATGCTATGTATTAAATAGTGAGCAAATATAAGGGATGTGGCTTGAATTATATAGACCAGGTATGGGAAATGTATTTTCCATCCTGAGTCAGAAATGCATGTATGTCTTCTCAAGAAGGAAGAATAGAAGATGTTTTAGCACTCCATATGACTATATGCAAAGGAAAATACTGTCTTGCATTTTTAATGTATGTGGTGGGGGGGGAGGATTCTGCCTGCCAAGACATTATTTGCTTAGTCATCTATCTATTTACTTGGGAGTGGTTAGGCTCAGTTTAAATCTAGGGTTTCTGTTTTTTTGTTGTTTTTTTTTTTTCCAGATGAATACGATACATTGTTTTTCTGCGCAGCTCAAGCCCACAGCGGAACACAGCTGCGTAAAGATTCAGGAAGGCAAGAAGGGAGGGAGGCAGGGCGATCTCTGCGCAGATACTATCCACAAATCTACTCCCGGTTCTCGACCATCTTTGTTGTTTTCACTATTTAATTTAAATTAATTAATTAATTAATTACATTTATTTATTTATTTATTTCACTATCTTAATTTAAATTTAATTTCACTATCTTTAATTTTAAATCGCCGCCGGTTGTCATCATTACTAAATCATTCGAAGTGGAAAACGCCTTGTTGATTTACACACAAGGAATCCCGGCGATAAATCGGTGGAAGAAAGCTTAATTGCCCGCCCCTGCCTTAAATAAATCGCTGCTTCTGTGATTAGTCTGTATGCCCAGAGTTGGGTAATTAGTTGCCCAACTAATTCGGATTCCCGAAGTGCTTTAAAATGCTATACGCAAAGAATCCACTAACAGTGCTGTAGATTTTAGAAGGGAAAGTTTTATATACATCAGCGGGCCCGGGAATTAAAGGTGAAAGATAGCGGTTATCTTGTTGTATTTTTTTTGTTATTATTCTGCTAGGCTCGGGAGCAATTCACAGCAATTTTAGGGTTAAAAAAGATTCTAGGGGAAAAAAAATCTCCAAAACAACTCTTCCCCCACTCCTTCGGACTAGGATCAGGTGACTCAGACAAATCATATGATCAGCGACTCACTAATTGGTTAGATTTAAAAAAAAAAAAAAGCACGGGTCGCATACGAGAATGTGCTGATGGCTGGATTTGCTTCATCAGCGGCAACAATAGTTAGATCTCTGGATTTCTCAGAGCTCAATTAGACTAAGTAGCAGAAATGGATTGGCAGAAGACGCTGCACAGCTGGCAGGAACGGATCTCTGAAGAACTGGACTCGGTGGTGGATTTTTGGCTACGGCACTCCCATGATAAGGAATATGGGTGAGCTTCGGTCTGTGAAATGCAGCTCTTAGGTTTCGTGTGCAGTGCGAGCCTAGCCGATACGGTTGGTTTAGAATACAGGGTATCGTGTGAATTCGCAGACGAGTTGAGTAAACGGTAGTTCAGATGATCATGCGTGATACGAATATAACCTAGTCTTAAATTATTAAAAAGCATACTTGAAAGGAATAGGAACCATATGCTTGCTACTGCTATTTTTAAGCAAACTATTAAAAATCGAACGAATGCAGAAAGAAACCTTTTTAAGACGAAGGGATCCTTTTCCCATATAGGCCAGCCATTGTAGGTTTGTATTCTCTTACTTGAGAATAATAGGCATTAATGTCCAGCATACTCTGGATTTATGATGTATCTGATGTATCTTTATGATGTATTATCTGGCTGTGGTTGGATTCACACATCACGCTAAGCTTAATTTATATTTTGCTTGTGATTAGTGTTTTTTAAATGAACATAACTAAAGGTAGTTTCTTCAGCAAAACACGGAGAAGCAAACGGTGACATAGTATAATATGTGGATCAGCTCTTTCTCCTTCTCAATAGTATCCAAAATTTGCTAAGATAACTTATTTTCTTTGCTTCTTGAAGAAGCTAGCTACCGATGCCTTCGTTTAAAAAATTATTGCTAATTGCTGTTAATGCTGTTTCTGGGAATCACTGTTTAGTTCCTCCTTTTCTTTCTCAGAGACATTTAAGTTGCTGGCTAGGAATTCTGGGAGTTGTAGTACAATATTTCTGGAAACCAAGTTAAAGAAAACTTTCAGTTTCTTTCTGGTTCTAAATGCTGCTGCCTCTTTTATTTTTCCAGAGGGTTCTTTACATGTCTGGACCAGACTGGAAAGGTTTATGATGATCTGAAGTATGTATGGCTACAAGGTCGACAGGTAACTTTCAGATTTTCTGTTTTTATCCCCATTGAAAGTTGGGAAAGTAAACTGAGGCAACTGATGAATCAGGCAAGCTTCCTTAGTGCAAGTCATGAAAATGTGAGCCTTGGGAATTTGTTGAATCCTGGCTTTATGATTCATTTAGAAGGGATGGAATAAAAAAGGTAGAAGATTCACATTTGAAACATGTGGAATTCCTTGTCTTTAAATGCAGAGAGATTCTGCCAATCCTTTCCCATTATTCACCTCATAGATTAAGCCAAAAAGTAGAAGCATCTGCAACTTCTTCTAATTGTGTGTGGCTCTTACAACCAAAGTTATAGATATTCCACATTCTTTCAATCTGGAGCAGCCATAATTTTGAATTTAAATGCTTATTGTAAATTATACATTTTGATTTGCATAAACCTAGGTTGATAACTGTTGTGGGCTTGGATGGCATGGGTAAACCTAAGATTTTGATTTAAAAGATGCACACAAAGCAGAGTATGGTGTTTAGCAGATTATGGGAATACTGATATTCAGGAAAATGTTTTTTAATGCAATATTTCTGTCTTGAGCTCTCACATATTTTTTTAGAATAGGAGAAAAGAACTGGTAGCCCTCCAGATATTGATGAATTACATCTTCCAACAACCTCAGCCAATAAGATATTGTAATTAGCAATGTAATTAGCAATATCTAGACTACAGGTGTCAAATTTGCCACGTCACGTGATGTATCGTGATGTATTGTGACTTTTTTTGCATTGCTGGAGCTGGGGTGGGTGCGGCCTCCATATGATGCAACCGGCCTGCAAGCCGGCAATTTGACACCCCTGATCTAGACGGTCACAGGTTCCCCATCTCTACTTTGGAAGTTAAATACAGGGCTGGTTAGTGAATAACTGTGAACAAGCACATCCTGGCATTATTCTTAGCACTAAGCAGAAGGCAGACATTAACCCTGGAAGGGAAAAATGTCATAGGGTAGACGAGAGAGTAGAGAGCAATCCTGTAAACTTTGCTCATGTTGGGCTGCAGTTCCAGCTGTTTACTTGTTCATCCAAAGCAGGGGTAGGCAACCTTGGCTCTTTTATGACTCGTGGACTTCAACTCCCAGAATGGGTGGCTCAGGAATGGCTGGCTAAGGAATTCTGGGAGTTGAAGTCCACGAGTCATAAAAGAGCCAAGGTTGCCTACCCCTGATCCAAAGGATCGTCTTTTGGCAAGAAACCTTTTTACCACATTTGGGTAGGTGGTGGATCATGACACATACCAGAGAACTCAGTTGGATTTCTGCAATCTTTTTCCTCCAAGGTATGGCTGTATAGTCGGTTGTATCGAAAAGTACCAAGATTCCAGCGTCCAGAACTCCTACAGGCAGCAAAAGCAGGTAACTTTCCTTGCTGTGCTTGTTTTTATCTTATCAGCATGAGACCCTAGGGCTCCAGGTGAACACACAATTTTCCTCGACCTACCAATTTTAGTATAAGTTAATGAAAATAAAGTGAAAAGTTAACATTTTTCCAATGCAAAGTGCCACCCTAATGACATGAGAAAGTCCCTCATTTGCTTTTTGGTAAATAGGTATTCTGAAGCTGACTATGACACTTATTTTGAGTATGTGCCCACATTCAACATGCTTTGAAAATTAAAGATGTTGTTCATTGATTTTAAACAAATTGAGAAGCCTTGTTCAGGGTAGGTTTTCAAATTGTGTGAGGGGTTGAAGTCTCTGATGGTTAAGTCAGTTAGGAAGGAGGAGATAAACTTGGAAGATCTAATGCTTTGGAGTAGTGATGGGTTTAAGGGACAAACATACAAAATGGGGGATTTATGGATTGGAAACACTTCATCTGAAGAAGACTTTGGTCTAGGGCCATCAGCAGTAATCTGAACATTATTCAGTAGTGTGAGATAGCTGCTAGAAAGACAAATCTCATTTGTCTTTCAATAACTGCTAGAAAGACGAATCCAAATCTGGGCTGTATTAAAAGAATGTATCAATGATGCATGAAGTCATTATTCCTTTCTTCTTGGCACTGGTGAAAACTGATCTGAAGTGCTGTACATGATTTTGGGTATCTGTATTTCCAGATAGGTACTCACAAGTTAGAAAAGATTCAGAAGAGAACAACAAAAATGATACTTTGATTTGAGGATCATGTCCTATAAGGACAGACTAAAGGTCCTACGGATGTTCAGTCTGTAGAAAAGACAAATGAGGGAAGATATTGTAGGCACATAAGGGGAAACTGTAGGGAAAGTGATCAAGAACTATTTTCCATGGGCACAGAGACACTAGGACCAGAAATATTGCATATAGGTTGAAACTAGATTTCATTTAAATGTATAGGAAAAAATTTCCTGACAGCAGGTTGTGGGTTCATCATCTTTTCGGGGTTTTAAAGAAGAGGTGGGATAGCCACCTCTTAAGGATGGTTTGCTTGGTTTTTCTGCACATTGCAGAAGATTGAAATAGATCAGTGATGGCAAACCTTTTAGAAACCGAGTGCCCAAACTGCAACCCAAAACCCACTTACGCATTGGCGGGTGCCGGGTGGGTGTGGCCCATTGGTTGGGTTTGGCTGCGGTGGTAACGGCAGACTGGGTAGGACTAAAAAGTTCAGCCAATCAATTCCAACTTTGCAAGATCTTTTTTTTCTCCGCAAGAAGTTGAAATTAGCTGATTGATTGAACCTTTTTTTTTTTTTTTTTGCACACGGCGGCGGAGGCCTAAAGCGAAAAAGTTTTATAAAACCCAGATGAAGGCCTAGGACTGGGGCAACGGCACACATGCCCACAGAGAGGGCTCTGAGTGCTGCCTCTGGCACCTGGGCCATAGGTTCGCCACCACTGAAATAGATGGTCCATGCGCTTCCTTTCAACTCTACATTCTGGGATTCTGTGAAATATCACAAACTGGATAGTAATAACACTTGGTATTTACATTCATTAAATAATCCAAGGAAAAACCCTGAAGGTAAATCTTTATATTTGAACTGTTTTGAGTAGACAAACTGTAGGCATACCAGGCTAAAAAGCAGGGGAGTCCCGCCTTAGCCATGAAAGCCAGTTGGGTGACCTTGGTTCAGCCACTCTCTCTCAGCCCAACCCACTTCACAAGGCTGTCGTTGCGGGGAAAACAGGAGGAGGGAGATGTGTTGGATATGTTTGTGGCCTTGAGCTATTTGTAGAAGTAATAAAGGTGGGATAAGAATAACTAAAAGTAAACTGTGGAGTTGTAATATAGTTGTACAGGACACTCTGTTTTTCACTGTAAAGCTATTTCTGGATTCCAGCTCACTCTCTCGGCCTTCCTGCTATGCTGGTTTTCTATGAAGAGCTTCATAAGAAATGCATTTATATAAAGGGGAAGGGATGGGTTGAGCTCATTTTCTGGGCACAAGCTGCAAGAAATAGAAGTAAGATACCACAATCCAGTTCCCTTTCTTTTCTCAAGGAGGGGAATTCCTGCTGAGACATGCACGAGTGGCTCCACCTTCCCAGAAATGTGCCTTTGTCCTGACCCGTGATGGCCGGCCTGTGAAAATCCAGCGTACCATTTTTAGCGAGTGTTTCTATGTTCTTGGGTTGGATGAGCTTGGTCGAGCTACAGGGGAATCTCATTACCAGGTCAGACTGTGAGAGCTGAATATCAAAGTTTCTGTTACTTTTTTAATACTATTTCCCATTTGGCACCCTCCAGCGCTCTTGGGCTGGTTTTAGCGATCATGTCTCTGGTTGGGGCTGGTGAAAATTGGATCAGTTATAATCTAATACAACTGGAGAGAACCACATTGGGAAAGGCTGCTGGAGAATAACGTGGTCTTCAAACCTGTTGATTCTCCTTCCCTTTGATTACCGTCCTTTCCTGAAACCAGACACAACCTCTAATGCACATAGTTAAAACGGCATAAATTGAGTAGGCCCGCTTTACCTCATGATGCTGTAGTTAGAGATGGTCTTCCGGTCTCTATGGATACATGGGTTCTACTGATAGAATCTAGGAAAGAATATCCACAGGGAAATGGCCTGTCAGAAGACTGAAATGATGTCTTGCAGGAATAATGTTTGGCTTTACAAGTAGTGGTTTGCAAGAAAAGCTACAGGATTTAATTTCTACTATAGATGAAATAGCTGGGCAGATGCCGATGTTGTCCCACCATCCCAATATAAACAAAAAGATCCTGAAGTTAATAAAATGTGGTAACTCTATAAATGTTGTTCTGAGCCCAGGCAGACTCAAACCATATGCTGCTCAGCAACCTTTATGCTATGAGATCTGATCCAATGCCTGTAGAATTAAATTCTTGTTTACTCTGGGGGCAGAAAGGAACTCAGGAATAGAAAATCTATACTTGAAAGATAAAACTGTGGTTATAATGGTATTCCTATTGGCAGAGGGAGGCCCTTGCAATGATGGAAGCCATCGTGCACTGGGTGAGAGAGGATCCCTCTGAATTGGGTCGTCCTCAGCTGGCAGGTGCTCTCCCACATGATTCTATGGCTATTCCCATGATGCTCCTCAACTTGGTGGATCAGCTGTCAGAAGGAGATGGGGAGACTGCAAGCCGCTTCAAGGAATTGGACAACTGGTCTGCTCAAAGAATACTCGGTCACCTTCAGGTAAAGGAATGGGTGTGGCCAGCTTCTCTCTCCATAAACCTGTTTGTCTCGCCTCTGATACATTACCAGCCATCTTATTTTCTTGTAGAGGAATGGTGCTGCAGTTTTGGAGAATGTTTCTGAAGATGGCAAGGAATTGCCAGGGTGTTTGGGAAGACAGCAGAATCCTGGTAAAAAGTGACTCTGAGGCCAGGATGCTTTTGCATTCTCTAATTTGAAATATATATAGAGTGTATATATAATTGTATTAAATTAAACACACACATTCTCATAGTAGACAAGGATCAGAAGGTAGTGATAGATGTTGCAGTGCTAAGTGACAACAACATCAGGAAGGACTGTGAGAAGCTGGAGAAGTACCAGGCCTGAAGGAAGAATCAGAGAGGATGTGAAAAATAAAAAGCCAAAGTGGTCCCAGTTGTGGTAGGGGTACATTGGACTGTAACTCCTAAACTGGGGAGTGGCTTCAACAGATCCCAGGAACGACATCAGAGCTCTCTGTCCAGAAAAATGCAGTACTAGGGACAGTTAAGATGCTACCCAGAACCCTCAAGCTCCCAGGCCTCTGGCAGAGGACCCAAGACTGAGGAAGATGCATATTATCCATAAGGTTGAAGAAATTTTTTTTCTTTTTGAAAATTTTTATTGATTTTCTAATTTCGCATTTAAATATTTGAAAAGCAATGTGGCGGCTGAGTTGGTCAATAATTCAATAACGTAGAAATATCTTTAGTAGAGATCTCAGACTATTACATTAAATATTTCCTCTCTTTTCCCCTTAGTAGTCACTGTCTTGTGTTTAAATTAATACAATTCTTACTATATCGATTAGATGAAAATTACTTTCTTGCATTTATCAGTAATTTTTGTTTATACATATCCTAGTTGTTTTAACATCAATCTTTTTAGACAATGTTCTGGTTAGTTTTCCCCAATTTTTAGTTTCCCATTAGTATTTAAATTTAATGTTTAGTATTTATAACTTCCAAGTTTTAATTAATCTCAATTCCCTTTATCACAATTCATCACAAGATCTAATATTCAGGATACACGTCTTATCTATTTGAATTCTCATCATGTTACATCAACCAATTAATAGTACAATATAATATTCTTATTTTCTAATACTTTCCAAATATCTTGAATTTAATAACCAAAATTTCTCTTTTCAAGATTTAATACTTCCTCTCTTCTTCTCTTAATATCTATCTCATATTTAAGCTTATAATTTTTTTACTGCTAAATAAGAACATATTTATTACATTCATCAATAAATTTTTAGCTTATATATATCTTAATTACCTTTACATTTAACCTTTATAAGCAAATCAATGTTCAAATTCAACTGTTAATATTTCTACTTCCAAGTTTTAAATGATCTAAGTTTTCTTTATTTCCACTCATAACAATATCTAGTATTCAAAATACACATCTATTTGAATATATTCTATTTTAATTTTCATTAGTAAATCAAAACTCCACTTTTCTTCAGTCTTATTCTAGCTTTCTTTCTTTGCCAAATCGTCTTCTATGTGCATGCTTTTGAATCATCAAATAAATCTCCCTGCATTGTTATGTGTATTGTTTGTCGTAAAAGGAACCATCCGGTTGCCATTTTTTTGAGAGGACTAACAAATCGTCTATTTTTCCATTTTGACATGATTGTCCTGAACTGTGTATCTTCTCTTCAATCTGTTCTTCTTGATCCTCAGGTTTCTTCTGATTTGTGTAGAAAGTCTTTTCCCTTTTCCATATTGTTAGTCCCTTTTCTGGTTTTTTCATTCACTGTGTTTGTTGATCAATTCAGTCTTCTGTCATAATATTTAATTGTTCCACTTTTATAATTGTAGTCAAGTTTTGAGTTCGTATCTCTGGGCTGGCATCTTGTTCTTTTCTTATTTCATCAGTAGCTGTTAGAATAGTTTGGTGAATTGTTTTCAACATAAAGAGAATCTGTTCCTGATCTTCATCCATATTCTCTTAGTGGAGTACTAAGTTAAAAGCTTTACAATCAGAGAATGCAAGAGAAAGATTTTATCCCTGAGTATGGAACACAGCTGAGCTTCTCACAGCTAATGTCTCAAGGTTACATGAATCTTTATTGCCTGGGCTGCTGGCCAAGTCTCTTTTAAGCAATAATAAATTATAATATCAGGTTTAGTCACAAGATATCACCCCTAATTTAAAGTTTTCTTTTGAATCCAATGTTTTTATAATCTTTTCAGCTTTGTTTCTTTTTATAAATAAAAACCTAGATCTTCAGTAAGAATAGAAAATCTTTTAGTCCACAAACTTTAAAAAATAAGATTCCAATTAGGATCAGGTTATTCTTCCAATGTTTTAAACTCCCCTAGATAGTCAGTCGCCACCGTTTCTAGAGGGAGGGATAAAATCTCCCTTCCCTCTCCACAGGGGGGAAAGTACTTTAAACAGCTTATGCAGGAAAAAATAGTTAGGATTTAAGAAAGGTAGCTTGTCTGCGCTGCTTTAAAATTGCCTGGTGATAAGTATGACTTCGGCTGTCTGCAGCCTAGTGACGAGCCATATTGCTATAGCCGGTCTTTCATCCGCTGGTTTGGAGGGCTGCCCCGGATCAAGCGGAAGGGCTACTGCCCTCCCGCGATCAAGAAGGGATCTGCTGGTCGCCCTTACAGGGCAACTTTTGACCTTTTCCAGTGTCCCCCAGCGATGCAAAACTGGACCTGGAAGATGGAGCTCGCCTTCCAGACATCCATGGCAGCCGCATCGGCAAACCAGAAGTCCAGAAAATTTTCTTTATATGTATATGAACCTGTTTTAATTTTGATCACCTTCAATTCTTTGTTTAATTAAACATAACAAAACATAGGAAGAGAAAACATGAGAGCCTTTGAAGCATGTATACATGTAAAATTTTACACAATGAAGGATTATGTTTTTTTTATAGTCATGCATATGTAATTATATTTGCAAGCAATTTGTTCATAAATTGCCAGTAACATCGGGGGTTTTAGATGGGGATTCTTTTATATATAGTGTTTACATATAAAGCAATTCTTTAACATGGAGACCATCAAAAGTAATATTTTTTCAATCTAAAGCAGAGCTGCCTATAATGGTATTGCTTCATGGAGAGATATTTTTCTTTGTGCTGAGATTTTTATACAGCAGTTTTTCTCTGCCTGAGTTGTTTGTTTTTACCATTACTCTATAATTACCATCATCAAGTCAATTTTTTTTAAAAAATTAATATATGCAAAATTTTAAGAAATGATTCATATTCTTTAAAAACATGACCTTCGGGAGTATAATAATTATTGGCATAAGATATATTTCTGCTTATCTTTAATGTGAAACAGCAAACCAGTGCATCATAGGGCCATTTTGAACCAAGGTACCTCAAATGGGCTAAATTACAGAATGTATCCAAAATTCAGGACCAATGTCTTCCAAGGGAATGAAATTTGGAAAAGTTGTGACTGCTTCAGTGTTACTGGCTGCTGCTGTCACGAGATCTTCATTTTCAACTTTCCTTGACAGTTTCCCAGCCAATCTCACAATCCCTCCCGTACTCAGCAGCCGCCACTTATCTCCCTGCTGGAAAGAGAAGGGAAGGGAAGATAGGAAGGAAGGGAAATTTCTGATCAGATTCCCCATCAAATTCCCACAAACAAACTCAATGGGGAAGCTGGCAGGAAGTTGAATGTTGCTCCTACTGTTTTTTTGCCTGCTTTTGGCCTTTCTGTTTTTCAGTTTAGGTAAGGAAATATCTCTGAAACAAATGACCCAATGGGGCACGGGTTGTCTAGTACTAATTTATGAATTGACTGTAATTAGGAGCTAGATGTTCTGAATAATTTGGTTTGTTCCTTCCTGTTCATTTTCATTCCAAGGTCATGCAATTGAAGCTGGCTGGTTCTTGCTCCGTTGTGCCATGCGCCAGCTCAACCCAGGCCTCCAGTCTCAGGCAGTAGACAAATTCATGAAACAGCCATTCCATTCAGGCTGGGATCCTGAACATGGGGGACTCTTTGCCTTCCAAGATGTTGATGGTTTCTGCCCCACTCAGGTATGGACTGTAAAGTCTTATTTTCACCACAAAGCTGAAGATCCCACCCCACCCCCTCAAACATTAGAGAGTCCTTTTTCTATTTTTCTTTCACCCTTTTCTGCAGCTAGAGTGGAGAATGAAACTTTGGTGGCCACACACAGAGGCCATGGTTGCATTTCTGATGGGTTTTGCTGAAACTCAAGACCAAGAGCTTCTGGAGCTATTTCACCAGGTGGCCAATTACACCTTTGCTAAGGTACTTTTGAGGATTGAATGTTGGGAATCATGGAATCTGTTTAGCCTGGAGATAGGTATATTTCAGTTAGTTAGAAAAGAGATGGGGAAATAGAGATAGAAATAGAAAATGCTCTGCAGTAAAACTTCATGAATCCTTGGAGAATTACTATTAATGTTTCATAAGCAATGTTAGCCTTGATGGACTAAATATGGTTTTGTATGAGTATAGATTGTTTGCTTAGTATCTGGAAAAACGTCAACACCCTAATGTATTTGATAAAAATGGGATGTTATTTCTTAATTTTTTTAGCTGTATAGCCAGACCATCTTTCCTTCAGAGCTCTTTGGCAACACACAAAACACTTTCTTCTCTCATTTTTCCCTACAACAATTCCTCCTTTCAGTCCAATTGAGCTGAAAGAAAGTAGATGGCCCATTGTTAATTCAGTGAGGTTTCATTACTAGTGGGAATTTGAATTCCTGTGCTAGTCTAGCATTTTCACCATCACAGCTTCATAATCAAAATAGAAGTTGAATGCTTTGGCTTTTCTATAAGTATAGCTTATTTTTCACCACCATTATTTTTGTTGCTAGGAGCCTTAAAATGTGTTTCCTATAGACCTTGAAGTTATTAGGAATCCTCCAGACTGTGCTAGACCAGGGCTTTTCAACCTTTTCACAGATTGTACCACTTTTACGACATGACAATATTTGAGTACCACCAATGCTTAGCAAGGTGTCAAAAAAGGGGGGGGGAAATTTTGGGTTTTACTGATTAGATTCATTTGTTGTTTATAGAAATGGCTAGTTTATAATATTATGGAAAAGTAAAAAAAGTTCAATGTTAATGCTTCCTTCTACTGCAACAGAGGAAATATGTTCTTTTTCCCTTCTCCCCCTCACTTTCCCCCCTTTTTCTTCCCCACTGTGTCCTACTATTTGCTTTTGTATTTTTGTATTTTGTTCTATAATCTAATGAAATATTACAAACTGTAGAAAAAAAGAAAAAAGTACCACTTTTAATTTCTTCTGTGGCTGTTCCTTTGCTAAATCACTTTCCTGTTGCACTGACAAATGTATGATGAATTCAAACTTGGCACTTTTATGACTTGTGGATTTCAACTCCCAGAATTCCTCAGCCCTCATGGCTGGTTGAGGAATTCTGGGAGTTGAAGTCTACACGTCTTAAAGTTGCTAAGTTTGTAGTCTCCTGAGCTAGCTGGTTGGCCTTTCTGAGCTTTTCCAATTCCTTCCCTGTACCCTTAAAGACACAGGAATCAAGTGCAAAGCAAGAAAATAAAGAAACACAAACTCTGATTTTTTTTCTCTTTAAGCTGCCTCAGGCAGGTCACATGTCACAACGTTGCAATTCATGACTGAAAGGCTCCGGCGGAAAAGCTTTAGCTTTAAATTAAGCCTGTTTACCTTCAAAGAAAACTTTCTAAAAGCCACAGATTCAATTAAAGGGGGTAAAACTAATTACATTTGTTTAAAGGGATTAAACCTTTCCTGATGTCTTTTTCCCCCTTCTCCCACCCAAACCACGTTCTTTTATAACCTCTCCTCATCCCCCCCCTTTTTTCAGTTCACCTCCAGCTCCAAGCTACTTCCGGAAGCGCCAATCAGCTGGAGCCCTGCCAGCTCCTGGGGCTTCTGCCAAGCCCAGACAGTCCTGCAGCTGTAGCTGCCTCTCCCTCAGGCTTGGCTCGCTTTGGCTCATTCCCATCCCCTGCTACACTTGGCTAGCAATCACGTACCACCTGCCATGTGGCAAAGTACCACAGGTGGTATGCGTATCACCAGTTGAAAAGCCCTGTGCTAGACAATTCCTATCATAATTTCTTCAATTATCTCTAGCCTTCAGATACAGACAATGCTGTTCCATGCTTTTCCATATCTTTCTTGCTCATAACACAAAGAACCATGAAGGGTTAGTATTCATAAATTCTGGAAGGATTCCTAAATGGATACTGGGGACAACAACAGGATGATGGTTCATTATCTTGTTGTTGTTTGTAACAGAACAAATCCTTTCGCAACACAGCAATATTATTACTTGATCAAAGATGTCTACTCTCTATCAGATTTGGATGTTTATTAGTCTCCTCATTAGACTTGCACTGTTAAACAAAGACAACAAACATTTCTGTATATGCAAAATAATAAAAATTATGATATAGAGTGCAAGAGTGGAGGAACAATCATTTTTGAAAGTGTGGCTCCTACTTGTGTGCCCTTTTAATATATCCAGAATTGATAGCCTACATGAAATAATTGTTATTTTCACAATGTTCCTAGATAATATAATGGTAGTCCTTGACTTACGACTTCAATTGAGTCCAGAATTTCTGTTGCTAAGCAAGAAAGTTGTTGTGAATTTTGCCCCATTTTATGAACTTTCTTGCCACAGTTGTTAAGTGAATCACTGCAGTTGTTAAGTTAGTAATTGGTTGTTGACTGAATCTGGCTTCCCCATTGACTTTGCTGGTCAGAAGATCACAAAAGGCGATCACATGACCCCGGGACACTGCAACCATCATAAATAAATGCCAGTTGCCAAGCATCCAGATTTTGATTATGTGACCATGGGGATGCTACAATGCTTGTAAGTGTGAAAAGTGTGAAAAACAGTCCTAAGTTACTTTTTTCAATGCAATTGTAATTTCATAGGCTCATTAAAAAAAATGGTTGTAAGTCAAGGATTACTTGCATTAAGTATCCACTGAACTTTAGTTCCCCTTTATCTTAGTCCAACATCCTGTTCTCTACCTCTGTCCTGCTCTTTGGTTGTTCCATGTTAGCATAATTGCTATCGTGTTTGCTTCTTCCTTAGTTCCGTGATCCGGTAGCAGGAGAATGGTTTGGGTATCTGAGCCAGGAAGGCAAGGTGGCTCTCACAATCAAAGGAGGGCCATTTAAAGGTAAAATAAATAAAAAATAATAAGGGGGAGGGGGCTTTATCCTAAAGGTAGCTATGTAAATGGGAAATCAGCAGAAATAAAATAACTTGTGAGCTTAACTATAGAACCATAAAAATAACTTGTGAGCTCAACCATAGAATGCAAAAAGTAATTAAGCAAGAGTACGTCTCATTTTCCTGCAATATATATAAGACATAGTCCAAATGCATATAAATTTTGTGTGTGTGTGTGTGTGTGTGTGTGTGTGTGTGCACCAAGACTTGTACTGATGATGTTACCTAGTAGAATAATGAAGTGTTTGTAAGCAAACAACCACTCTTGGAGAGCACCAAGAACTCCACAGTTCATCCCTGAGCTACAGATATTATCTAATGTCATAATTTATTTCCTTATCCCTGTTTGTGCTTCCTTTATGGAAGTGTCCTGCTTTGTAGATTGGGCATCAACAAGACACAACCTTAGCCTGGCAGATCTCTTCATGGGATTCCATTCACCACTCACCACCATTCACCACCAATATTGATTTCCCCAGAAGAGGAAACCAATTTCATAGAAACCATGAAATCAATAAAACTATAATGTAAGCCTGTAGAACAAAGAGACCAATGCCATATAGGTCAGGAGTACTTTTATTGTAACGTTTTGTTGATTTTGGCAGCACTGTAATGATGAAAAGGGCTCTGGAGGACATAACAAAAACCAGATAGGGGGCCAGGTGTACGAAGTTTTGAATATTTTGAAGATAAGTCCTTTCTTTTTTTTTCTCTTTACAGGTTGTTTCCATGTCCCTCGTGCTCTTTATATGTGTGAAGAAATTCTGAAATCTTTGATGGAGACAAAATCTGCCATTCAGAAATGAAATTTTCTTTTGACTTTTGCAAAATGCTGTGTTTTCTGCATCTTCTGCCCCCAAAAGAGTCTAATTATAAAAATGATCCTTTCTGATCATTTTGAAACTCCCCCCCTCCCCCGCCAAGCTACACACTTTTCATTTTAGAAACCAAATATTTGGGATTTTTTTTTTTTTTGGCTTTTAGGTATTTTAGGAAAAAGGAAGTCCTGATCATTTCTCACTTCCGATTCAAAAAGTTGATTATTTTTTTTTACCTGTAATCTAAATAGATTTAGCAACACCATTATGGTGCTACAGAACCACATTTATAGACAGCTTAAAAGAATAGATAGATGATTAAACATTGTAACAATTATTTGGATTTTCTATTGTGGTGGGAAGATATTTTTAATCTCTTCTTTCTCTCCCTGATCATGAATTACTTGCTGGTCATTGCCAAACCTGTGCCTTTTCATCTATATCTGTGCAATAAAGACACAAAACGTCCTCAAAAACAAATATCCCACTTTTATTTTAGCGTGCTTAGTGTGGCATAAATACCTCGACTTAACAATAATTTGGACCGGAACTTTCACTGCTAAGCATGGTGTTATTAAATGAGTTATACCTGATTTTATGTCTCTTTTTGTAAGTCACTTTTTCCAGCACTGTCATATTTTTTAACAGTTGTTAAATGAGTGGCTGTAAATTGAGGATTATTTATACATACCATAATGCTTCTTCCTTAACCACACTGTTAGGTAGATTTGGCTGAGAGGACTCACCAGCTAGCTAAAGGAAGATTAGAATTCACTATTTCCCAGTTCTAGTCCAGCACCTTAACCACTGCACCTTTTTTTATATGAAACATTTTTTAAAAAAAGAAAATAAATCAGCATTTTGATTCACTGGCTTCCAACTTTCATTCTGAGGTAATTTAGAATGGTATTCTAAAATGAATGACTTTCTACATCCAGAAGAAGCTCCTTGCAGTAAAGCAAAAGAGAGTAAGCCTGCGTACTAGGTTTTGTAGTGCCCCTGAGACTGAAATAGCGGGAATTCAGTGCTGTGATAGAAGAAATGTCTGGTGGAATTTTTACAGTAGGTTTGATTAGGGTTTGTTCCTCCTCCAGTAAAGCCCACAATGATAACTGAATTTGTAGCCAGTCTTAAGATAATAGATCTGAGGCAGCTGACATCAGAAAGCATGTTAACTATCTACATTCGGAATTAATACAATAATTTTCAATTTCTTCATATACCTAATTTACTAATCTGCCAAATTTGCCGGTTTGTAACTTTCTTATCCAATGCAGTTCTTCCTCTTTTAGGTAGGACACAGATTTCCTTTAAGGAACACTTACTAGCATTTTTAAAACCTACTTATTGGATATGCAAAAAGTGGCTTCCTCCTGTATCACTTCCAAACTGAGCACTGCAAGTCTTTCAGAGCTACCTTTAGCCTCCACACCAATGTTTAAAAAGTTGTAGGTAAATTCTTTTAATTTGACGTTAGGGATCATCTTGTTTGTCTCCTTTGAATCTTTGCTTTGTGTGTTTGTGTGTGTGTGTGTGTGTACCCATGTATCCAACTTTTTTTTTTCCTTCTGCCAACTGGGTCTGATTCTCAAAGAATCAGCAATTTTCTTGGCAAGGTTTTTCAGAAGTGGTTTGCACTTGCTTCCTAGAGCTGAGAGGGAATGACTGGCTCAAGATCATCCAGCTGGTTTTGAGCCCGAGACAGGACTAGACCTCAGGGTCTCTTGGTTTTAGCCTGATGCAGACATGATTCCATAAAATTCCTTGACTAAATAGAAGATAAGTATAGAAATATTACTAATTAAACCTCTGGGCTAGCCAATAGCCTGAATTTCATCTTTAATATCTCATTTTGAGGAATGATTCGTACGGGTGGAAAGCAAGAGGTAAGATCTGTTTTTCTGTGCTTGCACTACCATATTTTTGATTATCTCTACTTTTTAGGCAGATTCATTGGGAAGAAAGACTCAGCATGCGTATGGTTCCAGCTTTAAATTTTATTTTGGATATTATTAAGGTTGCTTAACTCTGTACATAAAAAGATTGACTGAAGAGTGGTAAACCTGTGGCCCTTCACTAGGTGCAGCCAATGGTAGCAAATGATGACCTAGAGGGCCACAGAATCTCCAGCACTGATCCCCTTGCTGAATTTACCCTAGAGAGACATTTTACTGACAAAATGGTTAGAGAAACTTCAGCAGCTTTTCTTTTTTATCCAGAATCTCTAAGGTGTTCCTTAATGAATTTTGCTTGTTTAATGTATTTATAAGCATGATCATTTCTCATTTATGACAAATTCAAGTTTTCAGAGTACTTTAGGCATCTTTTCTTGCTGCAGTCTTCACAACAGTGCTCTATTATTGATCTGATACTGTAAATTGAGGAGAAAGGAAAAGTTCTAAACCTCAGAGTGGCTTGCTAAAATCATAGTCTAAAACATGACGGTGGTAGGATTTCTCTAACTGGGCGATTTCCTTCTATTTTAACTTCCTAATATGTAATCTTTAAGATTAGGGCTTCAGTCTCATTAAAATCAGCAATTTATTCACATTGCACACTTTGTAACTTATTTCTAATAATAAAAATTGAATTTTTAAAAACAAGGTCTAGTACAGTGTTCTCAACCTTTTTAATTCCGCGACCCCCAACTGGTCGTAAGTCGAGGACTACTCAACCGGTCATAAGTCGAGGACTACTCAACTGGTGCAGCACCGTTTGCAGAATGGGACTTTTGGCAGGCTTAGCAGGGCAGAGACAGCCTGGACAATTCCTATTGGCTTTTGAAAGCCAATAGAATTAGACTATTCAAGAGAGTCTAGTCTATTGGCTTTCAAAAGCCAATAGAATAAAAGGGAGTAACACAGCTAAGGAAAAGGGGGGGGGGGAATTGGCGGACTGCGTTGTTTGGCGACCCCCGTGAAATGGTCGTTCGACCCCAAATGGGGTCCCGATCCACAGGTTGAGAACCACTGGTCTAGTAGTTGCTCTATTACATTCTCAAAACAAAGGAATTGCATATGAAATTAATTTTAAACATTCAAGGAATCTTCCTTCTTGGAAACCAGGGAAGGGAACGTACAAATTAAGCCAGCTGTTTGTAAGAAACTTGTCTACATGCACCTTGATATGTACAAGGGCCATTCACTCGGCTTATATTTGAATTTGGATGAAATAGTTTGCAGATATTTTCAATGCACACAAATATGACTTGGTTAAACTATGAATTGCAACCTGGCACATAAAGGGTCATTCAGATGTCACAACATCAAGCAAGATTCATTTATAGTCTCCGCCATGTTCTCCCTGAGTTCAAAACTTGGCAATTAACTGCAGTGTGTTCTGCAGCTGTAGTAGAATAGATGCTATTCACTATACTAGAACAGGCTCCACATGATTGCCCTCTTCTGGAAACAGAAAGAACTATTGTTATTGATCAAATTTACACTCTTGTTCAACAAGTGTTTTCTAAAGAGGCCCATAAAATCTGTACTGTACTAATTCCCTAGCAACATAATGCATTTTTTTAAAAAAATGTTCCTTTTAAACCTAAAGAAAACAAACAGTTGTTCGATAGCAACAAAGCTTCCAGACGAAGCTTCTATTAAAGAATAATCCTGCCTCACTCATAGATTTGGAAAAAAAAAAACCCCAACAACCCTGTCTCTCCTCGTAAGTCTTGGTGTTTTCACACTGTAACTGGTTCCAAATGTACCATTTCGTTTCCCTGCTGCAGTGGCGAGTGGGGGGGAATGTTCCAAATTATGGGGGCAATGACAGTGAAGGCTCTTTCCTGGACTCTGTCAGCTAAAATTGTTTAATAATTGATGAGGTCCACAGCATGCCTGACCAGGTGAGATGGGCCAATGTAATGGAGTGACGGAGGCTCTGTAGGTAATCTGGCCCTTTGACACAAAAGGCTTAAAAGCTCATAACCAAACTGTAAGGTCCCAGTCCCTTACATGAACTTGAGATACCATATCAATCTAATCAGATAACCCAAGCGGAGACTTCTTGATGAAGCAGCACTTTATTTGATCAAATCAAGCAGCTGGGTGGCCAACAATCTGGAACGCTGGCAGAGTTACGTCCAGTGCCATACCTTAGAAATTTGGTAGCATTGCTTTATAAACTTTGTTAGCTAATGAAAATCAGACAAAAGAGCCATTACATCATAAGAAAGACATCAATCTTTCCCGTACGCTCCCTTATTCCCTCCTTCAGTATATCACATCTATGTACATGTTTCCCACGCTTGCATGAGATTTCCCTGGTGCAAAAGCCAATTACAAAAAGCAAGAAAGCAACAGTTAGACTAAATAATTTCCCTTTGTTCCAGAATCCTCCAAAACCTTGAAGCAAACCAGCACCCAATGAAGCTCAAGCAAATATATCGACAAGATGCCAGACTCAGGCTGAACTAGAGACTCATTATATCCTTTTTTGCAAATGGATCTGAGGCTCAAAATTGTGATCTTTAGAGAATTCGAATTGTGAAGTTATTTCATCTCTATCCTGTTTTCATTCAAGAGCACAACCTGGTGCATAGATTGCCTTCATCTCTTTTCCCCCCACAACCCTGTGAGACAGCTTGGACGAGCAAGGATATGTCTGCCCAAAAGGAGCTTCTTGTCATAATTTAAAGCATGTTGTAAAAACAAAAGCGGTAATGTTATAGATTTGTTATTTGCTGAGATTACACCCTTTTCTTTGGTCTATTGAGCGAGTTTCTAAATTCATTTCTGAATTTAACCACTCACAAATCCATAGCCTCACTTTTTCACTGCCAAAGCTTCCTTATATATCATTCAATTTCTGCTTGCGAAGGATTGATTTAACTGATAATCAATTAAAGCACTTCTGGGGGGAATGAGTTTGTGTGCCCCCCCCCATCATTTATTTTCTTGAGTCCAAAGGGGCGGGGACAACGCAAGACTTTTCTAACCTGGACACGGGGGAAGGACCAATCGAACAGAATCATAGGTGAATTAAAAATAAGACTCCACGAAACGGGGAAAGTGGGGGAGGGGGAGAAGAGTAAGCCGAGTACTCATTGGTCAGCATGACCAGTTCTAGACAAGCTCCGATTGGATACTGAGGACGCCTTCCTGAGGCAGGGTTTTCTTAATTGGAGAAGAGGGTGGTACAATATCAGAATTTGTATCGGGGTTGGTTAGTGGCCTTTTCTTCTCTGCCCCGGTATTGGCTGCGTAGCAGAGACGAGCACGTTCTTTCCCTCCTCCCACCTACTCACGTCTTTTTCCCGGGGCAACGTACCTTGATGATCGTATCTAGCGCGTGAGCCGAGGAAGGGTCGCTGCTGTCACTATGAATATCCGGAATGCGCGGGTTCGAGTCTGGGACTGGCAGAAGGGGGTGGAGGGAGGCGGGATGGGTTCAGGAGGTGCGCTGGGGTGAAAACGGGAAAAGGCGTCAGCCCTTTGCTTTGAGGTAAAGGCTACGTAGAGAAGGCCATTGTTCAATCCTTCTATCTCCCTAGTTAATTAAGCTGAAAGAGTGGGAACTCTTCCCCCCCTAATTATCGCTGGGCATTTTTTGCTGAAGAGCTTCAGTCAATCAGTTCCAGATTGTTGCGGGATATTAACTGAACATTTAAAAGTTGGTTCTTCTGCTATAGGTAGGCCTACCCAGGTTCTGCGTTGGTAGCCAGTAACCTTGTAGTGTACACACAGCTGCGCTTTTCGATCCAGAGTGAGCCTCGCAGGAGTTGATAGCTGCAAGGATCGGAGTGGAACCTTCCTTGTGAGGAGCAGTATATCCTTGATTGTTTAGGACTTCCTTGCAACTTATGTCTTATCTGGCACCTGGATATCTCCTGACCAAAGTTAAATGCTGGATAAAATAGGCAGTATTTGGTATATACCACGTAAATATTTTTTTTTACTATTACAGTTCATAGCTGGAGACAGCCATTATTGCAATCGGTTCGATCCAAAGAGATCATTGTAATCAATGGGCAAGTTTCTGTTCCTAAAGTCAGCAGTCTGGTAGATTTAGAAAAACAAGGCCGGAAATAGACACACCTTACTGAATGGCTGACTTTTTGGCCCTGTGCTATATTGCCTTTGATTGCAGAAATTCCAGTCATTTATTTGAGCAAGAGCAGGATCCTCTTGTGGAAATGAAATGCTGCCTCTTTTTTCTGTCTCAATATTTATTCCTTTTTTCACTATCAGCCCGAGGACCTGATGAACATGCAACATTGCAATCTCCTTTGCCTGCCAGAGAATTACCAGATGAAATACTATTTTTATCATGGACTCTCCTGGCCACAGGTGATTCCTTTTAAATCTATATTCCTATTCAGTAACAACATTTGTGAAGAATGTGAAAGCTCAAGGTTGAGCCTCATCTCAAAGGGGCCTGGTGCAAGTTTCTTCTACACAATATTTTCCTTTGCCCTGTCTTTATTTGACTTGGCATTGGGAACTGATACAGTAGAGGTAGCCCTTGACGTTTACAACAGTTTGTTTAGTGACCAAAGTTACAGTGGCACTGAAAAAAGTGACTTATGACTGTTTTTCACACTTATGACCATTGCAGCATCCCCATGGTCATGTGATCAAAATTTCCACGCTTGGCAACTCAAATTTATCATTGTTGCAGTAGCTTGGGGTCATGTGATCACTTGCGATCTTCCGCCAAGCAAAGTCAATGAGGAAGCCAGATTCACTTAACAACTGGCAAGAAAGGTTGTAAAATGGCAAAATTCACAACAACTGTTTCATTTAGCAACAGAAATTTTGGGCTCAATTGTGGTCATAAGTTGAGGACTATCTGTAGCAAGTGATGCCTCTTCAGAGAACTAGTCTGATCCAGGCTTTCCAGGTTTTCTAAGTATATATGTGTTCTCCCTCAGCTTCAATCTGCCATGCCTGTTCCAACTTTCAGATGGCCATTGTTTTCAGTAAGCTGTGTAGCAGAATTTATTGATGACAATACTTTACTGAATCTTCAGAATTCCTCTTGGCTCTTTGATCATAAACACAAGTATTTCATATTTTAACCTTGGAAATTATTCTTTTATTTAGCAAGGTGTACCCTTAGTGATATGGGAATAGTTGACAGGAAGAAAATTTCAAGTGAACTAATTTTATGAAAGGCTACAAATATAATAATATATATGTGTAGGATATTTAGATTATGATTATTTAGCAAGTATATTACTAGTAATCCAAAAAAGTCAAATGTTAAGCTGGCTAGTTTGACTTCTCTATGAAAAAGCAGTAATATGAATGATTTCCTTTGGTTTCTGGATTCTTTTCCAAGGCCTTGTGTGTCTAATCTCCTGGTTGCTCTCTCCAGCTCTCCTACATTGCTGAAGATGAGAATGGCAAGATTGTGGGCTATGTGCTAGCTAAAATGTGAGTATGAGCTCTGATTGGATGAGTTTAATGAGTGTGTACTGTAGATAAACGCTTTTACAATCTTTTATGCTGCAGCAGTGAAAGGTCTCAAGCTATGATTTTATCATACATTGTATATTTTTGTGGGTGTGTATTCAAATTCTAAAGTTGCATAACCTCATTTTC